GGATGCCCACTGAAATAGTCCCTCGCATCTGGACACAAGCGCGCTTTTGCGTGCATCATCAATAACACTGTAACTGGGACCGCTCAGACGATTGTGAATGTATGCTGTGATATCGAGCTCAGTCAACTGAGGGGAGATATCCTGCATTCTCTTCAGAATCATGTGGGCATTCGGTTTGAACAGACGCTCGACATCTGCCTCAGGACGGGAGGTGAGGAGGATGCGGACACTGGAAGGGAGATCTGCCATCTTGCTCGCGAGTAGCTCAAGAAGCCCTTGGCGAGATAGAACATCGCCACATTCATCCAAAGCATCGATGACTATGACAAGGGGACCTGTGAGTGTGAGTTCCTGTAGTGGCTTCAGTATAAAGTTGTCGAACTGCGGAGCAATCTGCGACGTGGTCCGCAGTGAAGTTTGACCATGGACAATGCCCCACAGCGCGCGTTTTATGCGCTTGTCAAAGTCGGCCAGATCGCGAGCGACGTGGGGAAACAGCTTGTCAGGACCGCGCCCAGCCTCACCACGGATGAAGCAAAAGGATGATCCAAGACGATGAAGGTCGTTGAACTGCTGAGCGATGGTGTGTGCAATGGCTGATTTCCCGGTCCCTGCGGCGCCCGAAAGCAGGAGAACGCGGTGAGTGTCGTCCGAATTGATCCAATCTGCGATCTCGTCCAAAATCGCCACGCGAGTTCCTGGCTGACACCCCTTGTTCGGATCGAAGCTGGCCCCGCTCGTGTATCCGATTTCCTTCAAGTCAGTTTCGATCACTACACGACGAGCTCGGGGTCAGCCAGATATCAAAAATTGGCCATCGTGTTTTGCGTACTGATTTCCTCCGTATCACTCAGGATATGCTCTACTCCGTCGAGAATATGGTCCACTTTGTCGAGAATACGTACAGTGACAATCTGAGTTTGAACCGCCACTCCAGTATGGAATGCATGCTCGAGCTCAACGAACACCTCACAGAATTCGTTGATTGTATCATCCGTCGATGAAAGTGCATGCTTGACTGTTCGCCTCACTATGAAGAGAGGGGGAATTGGCAGATAGTGGCGTGCGATGAAGAATCAAACTCACAGAAGCCCTCGGTCTTTACATACTCAGATATGAAGTAGTAGCACTCCGTGGTCTGTCGAGCAATCCGGATGAATAGGTCTTGTAGCAGTCCGGCCTTCTCGGGCTTGGCCTCGAATTCCGTCTTCAAATCATTCACAATACTGTAGAATGATTTCATTGTATTGAACAGTTTCAAAATGTTGGTGTCTCGGTCCATCTGTTTCTGGACGATCTTTGCAACCAACAAGCTCTGTCAGCATCGCCACGATATCTGTCGAAACCGATCAGAAACACACCTTTACGGGTAATGACAGGATGCTCATGGCCATCTTGGCGTACGGATGTACCTAACATATCATATAAGCGTCCTGTCGTTGTGATGTGCAAGACATACTTCTGCGAGCTTGTCCGTGAACTCGCAAAAGATCTTGATGTTATCGAATAAAGGCTTCCATGTCGTGAGAAAATCGCTATTCTCCGAAGGCATAGAGCTTGCGCCATTGACGACGGTGCTGACAGGCCGTGAAAGCGAGTGCATCTGAGATACATTATGCTCGAGGTCCGCGAAGTTGACATCCAACGTCTCTGGGATCGCATCTGTATATATTTCCTGCGCGGTTTCTGGTGCCGGTAGGTTCTCAATGGGATGCTGTTCCTTTATACTTTTATCTTGTACTTCGATTCCGATGCGTAAGACAATACGGGCACCAGATTCTCCTGAGATGGTCTTGGTCACGTCTGAGAGATGTAAGTATCGCGAAGGAGATCTCATATTACATAAACACGGACGAACCTTGTGGGCTGCCTTCGAGTATCGAAGGATGTAAAGCCGATAATAATTCCGAGATGGAGCCGATGTGCAGATCCTTGCGCATTTTGCGACGAGCAAAGATGTCGATTCTGAAAGTCGAATTTGGATGGGCATTACTAACCGGCACAGTCAGTAACGAGGATAGAGAAAAATATCAAATGACATTCGTACAAGGAGAAAAGTTGGTTCCAGGCTGGGGTGCTGCTCCGGCGAGCGACCTTCGTCTCTTTCCTCTCCCCGCCGATCGTCATGACGGCATAGAATTTTCCGTCGACTTTCAGAGTGCGATTGAGGCTATCGACTCTGGGTAGACCAATAGCGCGGATCACTGTGGGGATGCTAACCGTGAGGAGGCCGCGCGTCGACCAAGCCATTCGCTCTCACCTCTGACATTCAACCCTATCTTCTGCTGGAGTTTTGAGGGCTCACTGGAGTTGAATGACGAAGAATCATAAACATGCACGGCGAAGTAAATAATTGACAAAACTCACGGCGGTGCTAGGGACGACATCGTCAGGGTGGACATGCTAGTGAGAGGTTAATTGAGGGCCTCGTGTGTGGGCACCCACAAGGACCCATAACCGCGCGCTGATGAACACGTGGAAAACGGGCCTTGTACTTTGACAAGTGAGCGCACCCGATTGGGAGCGAATAGAAGATACCAAATTGGGTTGGGCGCTTCTACCGATAGGAGTCATTGTGTCTCTGCTGCTTTGCTCGCATTCGCTCTTTGCCCGTCTCCATCAGAGTCTGCGCCAAGTGGGCAATGTACGATATATGATTTTCCGCTGGTCTATGAGGACTAAGGGGTGAGCAACTATACTCGTTGCAAGACGCAACGTGATGCGGCAGAAGGGAAGGTAGAAGGACGGAACAAGGTGGACTATACATGTGCATTGGAGTTGGTATCTGGACTGAGAAAGATAATACACGAACGAGCGGTGAAACAGGAAGGGAAGAAAGGGAAGAAAAGGGACAACGGAAGCAACAGAGAAGGAAGGCAAGCAAGCAATAACAACGTGCACGATCCAGACAAGCGCAGCGGATGAGGGATTTCGAGAAAACAAATGGAGACAATGTGCACAAGAAAGAAGTGAGAGAGATGACGTACATAGTTTTATTGCGCCCGATCTTCAGTCCGTCGGTACAGAGGTGTTAGCCCTGCATAGCCCTGCATCCGGTCGAGATATACTCGCGGTGACTCGTAGGCCGTGTGCCTGTCCTCGATACCATCAATGGACACGCATCTATACAGACGCACAGACGCATGTGCTCATCCAACGCTCGCACCTGCCAATTCACTCGCATCTATACCAAGGCTTCGATGTTCAGGATGATGTCGATGAGGATGGCGATGCGGAAGTGGGAGGTGAGGCGGTAACAGATCCCAGGAGGTAAGTCATATCCCATCGGTGATGATAAGCACTGGTCGCCAATATTTTATGCGCGGCTATGACATTCTGCGCTCGCCGCTGCCTGTTGCCCACAAGGAGAAGCAAGTCTTTCTATCGATTAGGCATACCAGCTGAGGTAGCGCTCGGAGCTGCGATGGGGCCCAATTGTACCGCCGACTAACGCCGAATCGGGTGGGTGCGCAAGACAGCGGTTACGAACCGTCTCTTGTTTGAAAGGCAAATATCATTTGGAGGAAGAGTTCGTTCAGGACCAAACCCTCTTCAAGACCCATCCAGCAGAGTCCGTGCGACAGCTGCCGCACTGTTTCACTCCCCGAGGTCTGCGCCGGCATCTGCGCGTTCCAAAGACCCCTGGCATATTCAAACTACTCACTGAGATGGCAGATCTCGCACGTATCGGATCAACTTGCGGCACCTCTTGCATAGGAGACGCAGACAAGACGCGAGCAGACGTGGTGGATTAAACCAAGTCAGGAGAATGTAGACTGGAAATATACGCACGACATGTTCCCGCCTTCGATCGCGACGACATTCCTGTACCGGCACTACCTGACATCGGCCTGTGGTCCCAAGGCGGAGCGGTAAGTACGGCGTGAGATGGTCAGGGACCAAAAAAGCCAAAAAAAAAAAAGAGGAGACACAGGGATACATTTATGTCTGTATCAAACCAGAGAGGTTTTTGGCTGGTGACGGTATGCAAACAAGCGCAGTAATCATAAAAAAAAGGTGAAAATTGAGCAGAGGATGGAACACCAGGGACAGGTGCAAGAGGTGAAAGATCCTGCGAGAGACAGTGAAGCAAGGGGCACCATGGATGCATACACGAGGAAGAAGGAAGAAATAGAAAAAGACGTCAAAGGTCGAACGCACGTGGATCTTGCACAGGAGTGAGGCCGAGCTGCGTGCGCATGTAGAGAAGTGCGGACGGCCAAACCCGTCATGGCGGAAGACCAGCGGGGAGGCAGGCGCGGTGCGGGAAGGAGCGCGTGGGAGTTACAACACAATGCATGAGTGCGAGACCCTCTATCAGTATTGGGTCAACGTGGACCAAAAACGAAAGAAAAAAGTTTAGGCTGAGACAGGATGTACGAGTCTTGCCGAGAGAGGTGTCAGAAAGGGAACGGCTGAGATTTGGGGTCAGCCCCTGACGACCGCACACACATCTTTTCACGCTTCTATGCATGCGATGAACGAGTACGCCTGCGCCCATTCGTAGGCGGTACTCCTGTCCTCCGCATCCCCTCGGTACGTGGAAACGCACTTGTATGCTGCTTAAGCGTCCTGTGGGACCATTTCTTCAATCAAGCTCCGATACCGTTGCTCTCCGATCCTGAAGCAGCGTCTTGACTAAGTCTCTTGCTGCTCAAGCATACATTGTAAAAAGATGCACGTGTTGCCTCAAAGACGGTGCTGCAAAGGTATTGCAGTGGTGGACGGGGACCTTGGATGCAGGGAAAGGGTCGCTTGCCCGTTTGGGCTAGCCAGCCAAAAGGACATCAAGACCGCCAAGGTCAGCGAACTTGAAACGGCATGGAATTGAACTGGGAGCGGGCGCTCACAGAGAGACTCGTGTATACTCCAAGCAACTCCTCGAATGGAGCTGTCCCAGTGCTTAGCTTGTGGACGGCCGCGCAATGAGCGAGAATCCGCGTGAGCGCGTCGGGATCGCTCTTTCTAAAATTAGGCCGAAGGGAAGAGGACCGCAAGTGTTAGCAGAGACGAGTCCTGGCAGGATACGCGTCGAACAGGGAGAGCCGGGGCGGAGAGGGCGTCACATCGGCGGTCGTGCAGTTGAACGGGCGAGTGACGTATGCAGGGAGCGAAAACTCGTCGGCGGGTGACGCGCGTTGAGATCGCATCGAGGCAGCATTCCTCACTCAAGAAATTAGAGGGCTCGTTGACGCAGCGCCAGACATTATCCAGACCGCACGGGCGTCGTGAACAACGACGACGGACGAGCGGTTGAAAGAGCACGATGGCCGTGGGAATCGCTTACGCTCGACTTGACCAACTCCGACGACCAGCTTTGTCTCGCTCTGCCAAACATGGCCTGGCTTTCCTCGTTCTTCCCTGCACAGATCATCGACATCGCGGCAACCCTCTTTCCTCAGTCTTCTCCACGAACGATGCACACGACAACGCTTGGACGCAAATTTCAGCTACTGTCCAGAAAACGTGCGCCCTTATGACCTTCCACTCGCTCGCAACAGCATAATCGTCAAGTCGTGCCACGCAATAGTAAGCACCAATCTTTTCCTCATAACTCTCGCAGAAAGTTCATCTTCCCGGCGTCTTCACCGTTCATATGTAATACTGCGAGGGCCGCCGACGGCATGCCGCACTGCCAGCACTGCATGCGAGTTCTAACTCACATTAATCGGCTCTGCGGGGCAGGTGGACTCAGATGAGTGTGATTTCAGAGTCACGGTGAGTGTGTTTGGGGTATATGTTGGAAGACGTGGTACCGCTAAGGGGGCGATTGCGTGGTGGGTCAACAGCACGTCCAAAATCCCTTGCAAGCTCCTACCAGCTGCACATGAGTGCTGTCTTTTTCCCTGTAGCGCATTTGATGCTGCTCAAGTGTGCTGAGTCGCAGGGGATTGCACTGTCCATCCAACCCTCAGACACTAATATTCTCATAAGTTTCTACAGGTGCTTGCTTGTAAGTTGACCCACCTCAACGTCAGCCCTCGCCAACAATGAGTGGAGATCCTTACATTTTCCTGACACATAGTTAGGCAATGCTACTCACCCGCACCCTGTCATTTTTTTTCGCTGCGATGCGTGGCGGCGAAGGCGGAATGGGCCTGTGCTGAACGGCTGTGGCCAACATCCACGGCATCGTCTTCCTCGACGTCCAACTTGCACGATACTCACACCGCGTTTAAGCCTCTACAATATTTCTGCGTAACTTAAGCCCAATATCGATACCGACTAACTGTTTTAAATAGCTCTGAGCGCTGGGACGATGAGAGGGCGAAGCGTTCAGAAGCACATCGTGAGCACAGGCCGTCTCGAGTTGCATTGGTGACCATGGTCTCTCACAAGGCCATCGAGATTTGCCGCCAATCGTCAGCAAAGACATCTACCGTTGCAAATCTCGTACTATCTCTGTGTTCTGCTCCTCATATGAGCCTCTTGCGCTTATTTTGATCCAGAGCTCCTACCCGTAAGGTTTTCTTGGCCCCAGCGACGTACAACAGGGTGTATTCTTCCCTCCAACAGCAGCTGGCATCTGCCTCTTGACAGAGTGCTCTGAGCGACGCGATCAAGGCACCTGGCTAAAACTCAGGACTCCCTTCTTCTGGACCCAGTGCAGGGCACACGAATGCGAACTCCCACAGCCCCTACGCATGCAACTTCCGCCATCGAGGCGCAGCGCATGCTCAGAAGCATCCCGTCGCTGCAGCCCCGTGCATTCAGCCCTCCGTACACGCATATATGCTCTCAAATTAATAATTCGGGCACCATTTGCGTCGTCGCATGTGAGGCTGGCGACGCCGTATTGAGCCCTGCTGAAGACAGGCTGGAAGAATGTGGACAGAGTATATGTGTTGATGCTCTGGAGCACGACGCAAGCGATGGGCTTTGATCTTGCGGCGTCTGATAGACTGATGAACGAGAGCGAGCTGGGAACAAGAAGCGTGACCCACGCGGAGGACATGCTGAGAAGAACTGAGGAGTGAAGCAGTGCGGACGGTGTAAATGAGAAAAATAAAAGCGAATACGGAGCAAACGTTTACGATTCGATGACGCTGAACATACTGCACATCAGTAAGTCAGCGCAGGAGACGGACACGTCCAACCATTGGTATTTCAGCTTACGAGTGTGTGCGAGTCCCAGCCCGCTATGGCAACCGTGAGTGATCTGCTATGAAAACATAAGCAGAAGATCACATTTTGCATACAGGACCCCTGGAACGGTTCTCAGATACTCAATTATATATATCATTGTCTAGTATCCAATACTCGAGGGCAGACTTGACGAGAGACAATCCAGGGGCAGCAAGCATCAAATTATAGATGAGATGTTTGTTTATTGATCCTCAATTTCAAACCAATAAGCTAATACATTGGTTGAGGATGAGCTAAAAGATATGATCAACACCCGGTAGACATGTGAACTTGTACACGAGCTCGGCAATGTCGCGCGCAGACGCGAGCACAGTGATGCACTGGTCGACCATATGGTCCGGGCACGCAGAGAAGTAGAGCACGCTGTGGGCGGCGGTGCGGCAGCGGCGCCTAACACGGATGAGGGCAGAGAGGTCGTGCGGGGCGACGTGCATGTAGATGAAGCTGAGCGGGATAGGGAACATTTTGCGCATGTTGCAGAGGATTGAGGGGAGAGAGCATGCAGGGGCACTTCCGGCTGGACATCGCCGAGCTCGTGTATGAGTCTACATGTCTACTGGGTGTTGATCATATCTTTTAGCTCATCCTCGACCAATGTATTAGCTTATTGGTTTGAAATTGAGGATCAATAAACAAACATCTCATCTATAATTTGATGCTTGCTGCCCCTGGATTGTCTCTCATCAAGTCTGCCCTCGAGTATTGGATACTAGACAATGATATATATAATTGAGTATCTGAGAACTGTTCCAGGGGTCCTGTATGCAAAATGTGATCTTCTGCTTACATTTTCATAGCAGATCACTCATGGTTGCCATAGCCCGCCATTGATGTTTAACTTGAAGCGACGGCAATTGTGAGTGAATCAATGGGTGTGTGTAGGAGTCGATGAATCCACAAGAGAGATGCCAGGTCCCACAAGGGATGCTTTTGGAAAGAATGCACAGCATGTATCTGTGTTGTATTTTGGATACTGAGTGATGCCCCACAAAGTGAGCATGGAAAATGGGGAGAGTAAGAATGAAAATGGAGGCTTATAGTGAGACTGGTATAGGGTATAATCCCCGGTGCTTGGCTTGTATAGGCTATGCAATTGTGAGGATCCACATGAGCACGTCAGGCTAAGTCTTGCTAGACATTGGCCAAAGGAAAGGACACTGTCAGTGCTAGAGGAGACAAGGCAGAGCAGGAGATGCGTCGAAAAGGGAGAGGCAAGGGAGAGGGTGTATCACATCAGGGATGTGTTATGTGATGATATATGCGGGAAGCGTCCATGAGTGACGCGCATTGAGCTTGCATCCAGGAAGGCTTCAGTGATCAAGCCACTGGAGTGCCCATATACGAAGCACCAGAGATGGGCCAGATAGCACGAGCATTGTGGACAATGAGGAAGGAGGAACTGCTCGTGACCTTCACCCAGCTCTGCAACCCTGTTGCAGATTGTCAACGAACTCTCTCTGGATAGATGGCCAGCACTCACAGATTATGCCCTTTGCAGCCTTCTTTGGAGAGCTGATACGTGAGTGCTTCTTTTTCCAGATCTAACATTAAGTCATCTGCTACGCAGAACACCCTGAAGCTCCGGATCGCACTAGGGCGAGTTCCTGTTGAATCACCCTCTCTAAGAATTCCCGCCTCTGTCTATGTCCTGCACTTCTCTTTACAAATACTTGAATATTGCTAGCTGACTGCTTCCATCTGGAAAACCACCCCCTTGTATTAAGCTCTAATTAGCTATAATTAATGCCCTACTATACTAAATTATGAAAGATTAGGATTAGACATTTTTAGCTTACCCCCCCTCTAAACCTGTTCTAATTAGACATAATTTTCCTAAATTAAGAATTATTAGGATTGATTATAACTTGAAATTTCGGAAAAATCATAATAAATCAAGCATCACAGTTCTTATAGCCTTCTTATAGAGTCATGTCTATTAGAGCACTAGTTAAATACCTAAACACAGAATATACCTTATAACAAACTTGTCTTTTGCCAGAGTTGAACCAACAACCTCATATATACAAACACCTAGGACAGATGCTCTAAGCCACTAAGCCACAAGGTCTAATATATAAACTTGGTAATCAAAATAAGTAGACATAATATAGGCAACCTCAACATCTCAAATTTTATTCAACGTTTATCTTTCCTCTCTCTTATAAATAAATAGGTCAATAAATAACTCAAAAATCAGGTCTTTCAGGATTTAGTTTAAACATTAGCTAAGAAAATAATAAACCAATGGAAAATAAATAATATACTTTATATAGGGTAAAAACAAATTGTGGCACTTACACAATTTGGATTTAGAATGTGTAAAACTATGATTGAGTATAATATTCAATAGGACTCTACTAGTATAGACAATGCTACCTTAATTTGCAAATTTGATCAAAAACATAATTATGAATAATTGGCCATAATTAGCTCAAATTAGTATCATTAATGATTATCAATAATTAAGATCCAATAAAAGAGAGGGGTTTTCCAAATGGCCACTAGTGAGGTAGAGGGTGGGGACAAGGGTATATATATAGCATGCCTATGTATAAATAAGCACAAGATTGTCAGAGATGATCTTGATATGCTTAGTGCACATATTTCCTACATAGCAGGCAAATATATTATTCTGGCACTACATACCAACATAACTGTCTTTTCTATAGCCCGATAGCTAGAGAAAAATACTAAGTTTGAGCATTTTCTATATAACAAGGCAATGGACAGTGTGGATGGCACTGAGAATTGTAATATCAATAGTGGTGATGATTATGTGCTGCACAAGACAGTATTAACCACTGCACTAATAGACAAGGTCTGTAAAGCTGCATGTAGCACATCCCTAAGCCCAACCTGCATATTGTGTCCTGTAATGACCAGTAGCAGGCATTGGCTAACAATGACAACTTTAATAATCTTGTGTGCAAGGCCAAGGTACTGAGGTCTTCATAGTCTCTTGTGGCAGCTGCTAAGCTGCCAACAAAGTGGCTGGGGCATCAATGCATATTTCTCTCTTTCTATGTCCCTTGTAAAGGCAGCTAGAAAGTCAGCAAAAGAGCTACAAGATAATGGTGCAGGCATATATGAAGAAGAGTAATATGCTGAAATAATATAGAATGTGCCACATCTTTACCTTCTCACTGAAAGAGCAGTAGTACTTACTATTTCCTACTGCTAATTAAAGACTTCTTGGTATGGAATTAGTGCTAATATTATAAAATTAGAAACCAATCCAATACTCATGATATGTTGCTCCCAATTAGGAAATTAGACACTTTTAGATACTATTAATACTTTTAGATACTTTTAGACACTATTAGCTATAATCCGGAGCTAATACAAGGGGGTGGTTTTCCAGATGTCTGTATACTCATTCAGACTGCTGTCTGCTCCACATACCAAATCCATGCACTCTTGTCTGAGCTGCCAGTCCATCATAAATTGTGATCATGATAGCAGCATAGCCAACTTCACTCAGATCGATGCTAAAAGCAGCATGCTTACTGTGAAAGCTGTACCATATCACTTGTCGCTAGAGCTGGACAGCAGGTTAGGCTCGCTTGTAGACATGGCAGCGCTGGATCTATGACCTACGCTGGAGTCCTTGACAATATTGTACCAGCCCCAATGCTTCAGTCTGATACAGTCAACGACTATCAGCCAGAAGTGGGCAGGTTTAACTTGGTGGCACATATGAGTAGGTAAGCACTTTTTTTTCATTCCGTGAACATCCATCATGGGTCTGGACTGCTAGACTATGGTCCCTCCAGCTAAACAAGTGACACATGATAGTTGACAGGCCTTCCTGTTCTCCTCATGGTACTCAAGGGCATTCAAATATTCCTACTCTTCGTGGATATTTCTCAGCCATATCCAGATTGCGAATGGTAATGGCAAGTGAATTAAATGTTTGGTGTATATGCAGTCAGCTGCACTCAATGTGACTTATCGCCAAAATTTTGCCAATCAGACTACTGCTTACAATTGATCAACCAAACTAGTATGAATACACAAAGCACAGGAGCTAGTTCATACATAGCGGAAAGAGGTGAAAGAGTCTAACATGAATCAATGCTGCTATGAAGGACAATAACACCCATGCTAGGAGGTTCCGTGAACAAATTCACTGAGGTCCAGGTGGACAAGCTGCTTCCCAATAGTGAATTGAAGCCTTGTATTAGACCACAACTTGTCATGGTACATGGCAGGAACCCAGAATAACAGCTCTTATATAGGACTGACTATCTAACCATCATTGTTCATGTGTTTATATATACAATTGGTCCATTTAGGTAGTGGCACAGGGTCATTAAGGCCATCTTAGCACATTGTGTGTTTCAGATTGCGAGAAACAAGAATAAAGGCTGTGAAAGGTTCAAGCCAGATAGAAACCTCGGTGTTCAGATAATGACAGCATTTGAACTCACAAAGACACATGCTGGAAATTTCAGATTGACTGATAAAGGGAATGTTGCTGGGTGCTGAGTACAATATCACCCATGGGACATTGAGCTTATTGGTCAAGACAGGTTAAATAATAGGTGCATCCCATATGAATAATAGGTGCATCCCACACCTAGATTATGTTGTCCCATGAGCCCTAACACAATACACATCCCATATGGAGAAAAAGCAACAAAAGTGACCACATTTTTGTGTCCCTCAAGAGGGTTATCCATAGCAGCATGCATTGCCACATCCAATATCACTAGGTTTTGGCCTGAGCCCAACATAATCCAGTTCCTGTCTAGTGAGTATGCAATAGAATGGACTGGGCCTTTGTATTCTCTAAAAGGGTAGCCTATAGCAGCATACATTGCCATATCCTATACCCAAATTGTGCAGTCAAGTGAGCTTAACATGATTTACTTTCTGTCTGGTAAGAAAGCAATAGAATAGACAGTGCCTGTGTGTCCTTTAAGAGGGTTGCCCATAGCATCACATATTGCCACATCCCAGACCCAGATTGTGTTGTTGAATGAGCCTGACATGATCTGTTTCCCATCTAGTGAGAAAGCAACAGAATGGACCAAGCCTGTGTGTTCCTTGAGAGGATTGCCCACTATGGCATGAGTCCTTGTATCCCAGACCTGGATTGTGTTGTTGTCCAAGCCTAACACAATCCACTTTCCATCTGGTAAAAAAGCAACAGAATTGACATCATCTGTGTGTCCTTTGAGAGAGTTGTCCACAGAAACATGCATTGCCATATCCCACATCTGGACAGTCTTGTTGTCCAAACATAATACAATCTGCATCCTATCTGGTGAGAAAGCAATAGTCATCAGGAAAAAGCTCCATATTTAATTAACCATAGTTAAGCATAAATATAGCTATATTCTACCAATTACCATTAAGGATTCTTAGCTTACCCCCTCTAATCCTGAAATTATAAGATCTAATTAGAGCTAATTAAAGCTGATTTATTATATGAATTTTCGGAAAAATATCAACCAACCTACTCCTATGGTTTCTTTACTACTATTATACCTCCAATCATAGAGTATGTATAGAGCTTACTAGTCAAACTAAAGTCACACCTTATTATAAACTTGCCCATTACTAAAATTGAACCAACAATCTTATGCCTGCACACCTTGGACTAGTGCTCTAAACCACTAAGCCACAAGGTCTAAATTCTTTACCTAGTAACCTAAATATGTTGATATGAATAAGGCAATCTCAACATTTCTGATTTTCTTACACATTCATCTTTTATCTATTATATATATAAAGAGGTCAATAAATAATCTAAAAATCAGGGCTTTTAATATTTGAATTTAGACACCAGACAATAATGTAGTAAACCAATAGAAGATAGAGAATACAGTAGGAGTAAAATTGTAGCACTCATATAGTTTGGATTTAGGATATGTAAAATTGTAATTAGGTTGTAGATTTCAGTGGGACTGTAATAATATAGACAATGTCCTCTCAATTGCAAATTTGGTCATAAAGTTAATTATAGATAATATATTCTAATTAGCTTAGATTAGTATTTTGAATAATTAAATCCAATTAAGAGAAGAGGGTTTTCCAGATGATGCACTATGTGAGCCTCAAGTCTCTCAATATGGGTGTGAACAAGGCTGCAAGGGGATATCTAAGCCCATATCTTGGGCCCAATACTATAGACATGCCAAGTATTGGCAGCCTGGGCTTTCTCAGACCCTTCAGATTTTTATTGGAGCCTTTTCAAGTATAAGTATCACCACAATAGGGAGCACTAAGCAAGGCTTTGAACCAAAAGCAAGTACAGGTGTCGCTGACAAGTGCACAAGACTCAAACAGCATCATGCTCATCTGCAGACAGTATGTCCCATTCTCTTCTCTTGTATTCTCCAATTCTTATAATATATCTATAGGATGAACCACAGTCCAATAGTGCATATGATCTTGAACACTAGGCTGAGCCACCTGCCACTAGTGAGATACACAACACTTGCTCTGATTCATTGACAGTATACATCTTGTGCATGTCTGACATTTGTTGTTTATCTAGAGTCACAGCAATCTCCCTTATCCCAGATAAATCCCCCACCTCACCCTGGTCTTGCATCCTTTCTGACACTCAATCTGGGCTCTGATCATGATGAAGTGCCATCTACACCACCACAAGAGCTTGCTGCACCTCTTCTAGAGGATCATGAAAACCTTGACAATATCTTAGCAGCAAATGATCTTGATACACATGTAGATGAAGAGCCAGACATCTTGGAATACACAGCTGAGACTCATCCATCCTGCATCAATGATATCTGCCTCACCTAGGAGTTCATCAATGCTCTCAAATGAGCTTCTCTCGATGACAACAATTTTGATCCAGCTAATCTGAAGTGTCTGCATCCTCCTCCTCAGGAGCCTTTGAATATCATGGAACCTGATCTCCACCTTTCACTAGACATCTTCTTGGCTATCAGCAATGCTTCAGAACAAACCTACCATGCAGTCCATGCCACACTTCCACGATATGACCCAGAATATGGTATTCTCTCATACTATGACATCAAATGGCAAGTTGCAGAGCTTAGTGGTATTGTCCTATTGCTACATCACATATGTATCAATACCTGCATCATGTACACTAGCCTATTTAGAGACCTCGAGACCTGCTCCATCTGCCATGAGCCTCAGTATGAACAGCTGAAGCCTTACTTGAAGATCCCACATCAAGAATTCTATACTGTTAGGACCACATTCTAACACATGACTCACACATACTCTCAGAGTACGGTTAGGTGCTATGCTCATATATTCAAATTGGATTGGGAATGTGCTCTTATTCACATGCTAACACATAAACATTACTTACATATTATTCATTTACAAGTTTTGGCTTGAACACTCATAAGTATTATGATCGGTTCCTGAGTTACTACAGATGTGGACAGACATTTAATATAGTTACTACATATGGCTAAAGTGTTTACTGAGGATAACAGATCATGATCGATTGGCTTACTTAGTGTTTAGAAGCATGGATCAGATCTTCATCCAGCCTTAAATAGACTGTATATATTAATAGCTGAGCTAAGCTTCTTAGAAGATTAGCTCATTTATTTTGTATACATCTTGATCTCTGCACTGCACCCAACATCTGGCTCCCTTCAGCCCATGCATTGTGAACTCTGTCAGATCATCATAAATATACCTAGTTTAACAAAGCACTGGATTCATCTCATAGTCCTAATCATCCTCTCTTCTCTGCAACTTATCAAGGACTTGCTGCTTACTAAGTCATTTGTTGGAATCCCTTGGAGGCCATTTGTTGCATCGGGGAAGACCTGCCGGTTCCTGACAAACATTGTCCCATTATTAATCAGCACCTCATCCACCTCTTTAAAGACAAGATTGATAGCAATCAAGACTTCCTGATACAAGCCCAAAGACAAGCAATTGTCTTTATTTGTTGGGCTGTTACAATTAGCTCAGGGAACCCCTTATAAGTGCAACAAGTGCATGTGACAAGCCTAGTGGCTTAACACATACCATTCCTATCAGACTGCAGTTACAGGCACTTTGGTACATAACCGAAGGAGTAACAAGCACTTGTTATTAAGAGCACTGCACCAAACAGATACTCAAAGAACTTAGCCAGTCTCATGGTGTCATGGATTCATAGGATGATATTTATCATGGAAAAGACTACCTCAATGCTATTCATGATGGAAAAATAGGGCCAAACAACATGGTCCTTCTTTTCTCAATTGATGGTGCTTAGCTCTATGAGAAGAAAGCCTCTGACTGTTGGATATACATCTAGATTCTTCTTGACCATTCTTCTAACCTTTGGTACAAGAAAAAGCACATTTTTCTAGGTGGTCTCATTCTAGGGCTATTGAAGCCCAAAAATCTTGACTTTTTTATCTTTCCAGGCTTTCATCATCTTACAGCTTTCCAAAACGAAGGGCTTTCAATCTGGGATGCTGCTCTAAATCTAATTATTCTGTCCTTTCTGTTTTTAATTTTTGAGATAGCTGATACCCCCACTATGAGTATTCTGAGTGGAATAGTAGGATACACTGGCTTCCAGGGCTGCTAACTCCACTGTCTGATGTATGACCAACATAAACCAAGTGCTCTACAGTATTATCCTGCACAGTTGAAACCAACATCTGGAAAACCACTCCCTTGTATTAAGCTCTAATTAGCTATAATTAATGCCCTACTATACTAAATTATGAAAGATTAGGATTAGACATTTTTAGCTTACCCCCCCTCTAAACCTGTTCTAATTAGACATAATTTTCCTAAATTAAGAATTATTAGGATTGATTATAACTTGAAATTTTGGAATAATAATAATAAATCAAGCATCATAGTTCTCATAGCCTTCTTATAGAGTCATGTCTATTAGACCACTAGTTGAATACATAAACACAGAATATGCCTTATAACAAACTTGCTTTTTGCCAGAGTTGAACCAACAACCTTATATATACAAGCATCTAGGCTAGATGCTCTAAGCCACTAAGCCACAAGGTCTAATATATTAACTTGGTAATCTAAATAAGTAGACATAATATAGGCAACCTCAACATCTCAAATTTTATTCAACATTTATCTTTCCTCTATCTAATAAATAAACAGGTTAATAAATACCCAAAAAGTCAGGTCTTTCAGGATTTAGTTAAAACACCAGCTAAAAAGATAATAAACCAATGGAAAATAAATAATATACTTTATATAGGGTAAAAACAAATTGTGGCACTTACATAATTTGGATTTAGAATGTGTAAAACTATGATTGAGTATAATATTCAATAGGACTCTACTAGTATAGACAATGCTACCTTAATTTGCAAATTTGATTAAAAACATAATTATGAATAATTGGCCATAATTAGCTCAAATTAGTATCATTAATGATTATCAATAATTAAAATCCAATAAGAGAGAGGGGTTTTCCAAATGGCCACTAGTGAGGTGGAGGGTGGGGACAAGGGTATATATATGGCATGCCTATGTATAAATAAGCACAAGATTGTTAGAGATGATCTTGATATGCTTAGTGCACATATTTTCTACATAACATGCAAATATATTATTCTGGCACTATATACCAACATGACTGTCTTTTCTATAGCCCAATAGCTAGAGAAAAACACTAAGTTTGAGCATCTTTTGTATAACAAGGCAATGAATTATGTAGATGGTGCTGAAAATTATAATATCAATAGTGATGACAATTATGTGCTGTACAAGATAATATTGACCACTACACTAATAGACAAGGTCTGCAAGGCTACATGTAGTGCATCTCTAAACCTAACCTGCATGTTGTGTCCTGTATTAACCAGTGGCAAGCATTAGCTGACAATAACAACTTCAATGATCTTGTGTGCAAGGCCAAGGTACTGAGGTCTTCATAGCCTCTTGTGGCAGCTGCTAAGCTGCCAACAAAGTGGCTAGAGCATCAATGCATATTTCTCTCTTTCTATGTCCCTTGTAAAGGCAGCTAGAAAGTCAGCAAAAGAGCTACAAGATAATGGTGCAGGCATATATGAAGGAGAGTAATATGCTGAAATAGTATAGAATGTGCCACATCTTTGCCTTCTCACTGATAGAGCAGTAGTACTTACTATTTCCTACTGCTAATTAAAGACCTCTTGGTATGGAATTAGTGCTAATATTATAAAATTAGAAACCAATCCAATGCTCACAATGTGTTGCTCCCAATTAGGAAATTAGACACTTTTAGATGCTATTAATACTTTTAGATACTTTTAGACACTATTAGCTATAATCTGGAGCTAATACAAGGGGGTGATTTTCCAGATGTAATATGCTAAAATAGTATAGAATATGCCACATATTTACCTTCTCACTGATAGAGCAGTAGTACTTACTATTTCCTACTGCTAATTAAAGACTTTTCGGTATGGAATTAGTGCTAATATTATAAAATTAGAAACCAGTCCAATGCTCATAATATGTTGCTCCCAATTAGGAAATCAGACACTTTTAGATGCTATTAACACTTTTAGATACTTTTAGACACTATTAGATATAATCTGGAGCTAATACAAGGGGGTGGTTTTCCAGATGAAGGGAGATGTGGACAACGAGGAAGATCTTTATGGCAATCAGATAGGAGAGGAGGGTGGAGGTTGGCAAGAGGAGGGGGAGAAAACTTGGGAAGAGGGGGGGGAAACTTGGCAAGGTGTGGGAGGGTTATGGCAAATTGATCCAAACTTAGAATAGGTACGCATGTAACATACCTCATAGTTCGTCGTCCAAGCCATAAGGATCTGGTTCCTGTGTCAACTGCGAGACCCTGATTGTTAAACATGAAGAAAAAACTGTTAGGACCGTGTCCTAACACATGCTGAGCACGTAATTCGATAATGCCACATGGTGGTGCCTGCTGCTGACTTATTCACAAGCTTCGGCTTGAACTATTACGTATGCCCGTTATGATGTTTGGTGATCGGGTCCTGAGTGGTTACTGATGTGGACAGACATTCATCATGCTTACTATATTTGGTAAAAGGTGCAGAGCTGCGGATTACATACGTCGATCATCGATTGCAATTATTGTTTAGAAGCACGGACCATATGTCTGGCTTGCCCTAAAGGATCTGTACGTATTAATAGCCAAGCTGAGCTTCTTAGAAGCCTCAGCTCGTTCACTTTGTATACATCTCGATCTCTGCACTGCACCCGGTGTTTGGCCCCTTCAGCCCCCGCTTCGTGAACTCTGCCAGATCCATAGAACCATACTCAGTCTGACGAAGCACTGGACTCGTCTCAAAGCTCTTATCATCCTCTACTGCCCGCAACATATCAAGGACTCACTGCCTATTGAGTCATTCATTGGGATCCCTCCGAAGTCATCTGTTGCATAGAAGAAGACTTGTTTGTACCAGACAAACAATGACATTTAGTTAACCAGCACCTCCTCCATCTGTTCGAGGACAAGATCAATAGTGATCAAGAATTCCTGAACCAAGCTCAGAGACAATCGGTCGTCTTTATACGTTGGGCCGTCACTATCACAATTAGCCCAGGGAACCCTTCTTAGTGCGACAAATGCATGTGATAAGCCTAATGGCTTAACACTTGAATGAGCTCTTTATTCCCTGCCCTAACACACCCTGGAACGACCTACTCTCCAATCACTAGCCAAAGTAGCGTGACAAATAGTAGAAGAACGAAACCAAAGAACAGTTATAGCAACCAAAATTAGCGAAGCAATACAAGGAGAAATTGCCTGACCCGGAGCCACCACACCGGTCATACACCCAGATTTAACAGGAGTTAATACCACAACCAGATACTCAGTCACTGGACGAGTATATGCAGGAGTAGCAACCTACAAGCTACAGCACACACAAGATTACTTCTTCAACTTCAATGGAAGAATCGGATTCCCCTTTTTGGGGCTTTGCTTCACCAATGAACCCAGGACACTAGTCTCCACAGTTGGAGATCCGGAACTCAACGTTATTCACACCAGGAATACCGTTGACATTGACGATGGAAGACCAACCCACTTCCCTCGAGAACACATCGCAGTGCTTAGGAAACACATCACCAAGGACATCGATTCAGAAGGAATCAGACAGGAACTCATCGAGCACGGTCAACAAAGGCACAGATACGCCATCATCATTTTTTGGACCTACACAGCCGCGAACTAGGACACGCTGGATCCTACTGGATACTCACCCCACAGAACTGAAATCAGCGGAACCGTATCAGTTATCAGAAGAGGAGAGTTCGCCCACAAAACTTATTATTTCAGAAGCTTCATCAGTGGACAAACCTTCGATGAAATCCTCACGCTTTTGGACCAAATCAACAACGGAATTAATGAGATCATCAGAAGAGAACCCACACTCCAAGAAAGACTCAGGGCTGGAAGATGACACGAGATCCCCTTCCACTTCACAGAATAAATAATTGAGCCAACAGTCTAGAAGGGATACCCGTCCCCATACCACAAGAACCCGATCTACATCTTTGAACACTTACCCGAAGACGTCGACCCGGACACCGTTTATTGTGACGAGGAAAACAGACACTTCTACATCGGAGGAATCCTCACCGGATTCTACACAGGAAGCGGAAAGGAGGAATTTTACAGTAGGCCGTTCCTCGGAAAAGAAATCCACGCCGCACCCGAATTACGGACCACTAAAATCGCAATTGTCATCGCCGAGCTCAGGAGAATCAAGCCTAAATCACCAACAAATCGGAATCATAACTCACCAAAACCACACTTATATAACGTACCCTGGGAAGCAACCGGTGGAAGTCGACTCTCTAGAAGAAACATGCCCGCTGCATCCCCAATACAAGAAACCTCTCCACAAGCAAGCTTCCAAACCCCTTCATCGGTCGAAAGCCCCCAAGAAGAGCATACTCAAGAACCAGATACAAGTGGAGAGCCTCCTAACGATAAGCAGCCCCTGACTAGTGAGATGTTGACAAATACTGGAAATCCTGGATCCAAGGGACCGGCTATGGCCAAACCCACCCCCTTCGATAGAAACCAGAAACGAACAGAGCAGTTCCTTCATGAAATCGACATAATGATACTCGCCAGGAAACACGACTTCCCGGACGAATTTACGAAAATCGCATATGCGCTATCCTACATGAAAAGAGGATCAGCAGGGATATGGTCAAGAAATTTCACCAAGGCAAGGAACTTAAATGACAACTGGGACCTCTATACATGGAAACCCACCCAAGACATGACTTCGGTTCACCAGAAAATATCAGCAGACTTCGAGGAATCTGATAAAACAGCGGATGCCAGAGACAAACTGGCTAGGATCAACCAAGGAAAAGAATCCTTTAACGCATACCTTCAACTGTTCGAACAAATTGCCGAACTAGCAGGAGTTGATCTGGAAACCAAGAAAACACACTTCTTAAGAGGCCTTAAATAGGAACTGGCCTGAGGAATTTATCAAGACCTAGCGTACAAATCACCTGGGAGGAACTAGTGGCCAAGGCCAAAAGACACGAAACAATGCGCATAGAAGAAATGCGAGCACGAGACCTCAGGCAAGGAAAATATCAAGTCTTCACCCTGAGCAACTACTACTCGAACTTCGCCCCAAGCCCACGTCAAGAACGAGAGTCACAATATGTCCCCATGGACGTGGATGCCGCAGAAATAGACGTCGACACCATCCGTTTCAAGAAACTTACCCTAGAAGAAAGAAGCCGACTTGCCAAAGAAGGAAAGTGCTTCTATTGTAAGAAGCCCTGGCACATGGCGCGCGGATGCCCCTCCAGACCGAAACGAAGATTTCCCCCACCTCAAAGAGGAAGATCGTTTCCAAGACCCCGCATGATGAGGGCTGTGGAAACAGAAGAAGGAGGAAGAGACGAAGAATACCCAGAAGAAGGCAAACAAAGAATAGCCCACATCCAACAAATGATGATGGGGCTCAGTCTTGACAAAATCGCTGAAATCAGGACCTTCAGCAAATCAAAGGATTTTTAAGATCTCTTCCATCAGCAGTGGATGCGAAGAGTAGGATTCTTGCAGGAAATCGGTATGCTCCCCTGGTCAATAAAGACATTGACCAAGAGCATGGACATCCAGATATATTGTATCTTTCAGAAATGAAATCACATAGTGCACCATCACTTTGGATCGAGACGGAACTCATAGGCAAGAATTGAAAGGCTGCTACACAGGCTCTAGTCGACAGTGGAGCAACAGGAATATTCATGCATCCCAAATTGGTGGAAAATCATCGAATCTACACACAGAAGACACCCCACCCCATACCAGTTAACACGGTCCAGAACACGGAATTCAAGGGAGGACCTATCACAAGATTCGCAGAACTAAAATTACGAGTTCTAGGCGAAGAAGGGGGGCACATACCGAATCGGCAAAATTCTATATAGCCGAAATTGGGAAAGAAGACGTCATTTTAGGAACCGACTGGTTGTTAGAGCACAACCCGGAAGTCGACTGGCACGCCTACGGATTACACTTCACTAGGTGCCCACCGTCCTGCAACATCACAGGAGGACCAATCAAAGCCAAGAGAGCTTTCAGGAAACCAGGACGTCAAGAACCAGAGATACGGCGCATGGTGACAGTACCACGAGAGCGTGACTACTCAATCCCATTGCAGAAGCCAGGGAAAGGACAGCTAGACAGGAAAATGGGAAACACTACAGTATCACATCTGCGGATAAAACCTAAAATCCGGGGTTCGCAACCCAAAGGAACAAAACTGGAGTACTACCTTAGGACCCAAGCCAAACACTATACGGCACCGAGATGGGCCGAAGAGGAGACTCAAGAAGGTGGTGGACCGCTATCGGCTCTACCTTCTACGGATCTAGACAAAGATGGAGTATACCTCATCAGATGCCTGGACACAGGGCAATTGGAAGCCCTGGAGTTATACAACGACCAGGACGAAGGATCCGACATCCATCGTACTGAGACCTCCACCGCCAATACAACGGCACGTAAAGCGGAACCTACCAAAGCAGCGGTAGGCAAACAGACCAAGCATACCAATTCGCAAAAATTGGCAGAAGAGGCTTCAAAAGGGAAACCCGGATTACCCTTTGAAGAAATTGTTCTCGGAGTATACTGGAAGTACAGGAAAGTTTTCGAAGGGCGAAAACCAGGGAAATTACCACCCAAACGACCATGGGATCACAAGATAGAATTAAAGGACAATATGGAATACTCGCTCAGGCCAAAACTTTACAGCCTCAGCCTGATGGAGCAAGAAGAGCTCAAGAAATTCATCGATGAGAGTCTCAAGAAGGGATTCATTCAAGAATCCAAATCGCACATGGTGTCGCCATTCTTCTTTATCAAAAAGAAAAATGGAAAGCTACGGCCGGTAATGGATTACCAGAAGCTCAATGAAATAACGATCAAGAACAAGTACCCTCTACTGATTATTCAAGAATTACTGGATCTCTTGACAGAGGCGGAATACTTCTCACTGGTGGACATCAACATAGGATACAACAACGTACTTATTAATGAAAAAGATGTCCACAAGGCCGCGTTTGTAACAAATCTAGGAATGTACGTGTTACGACTGCTCGTCGGTAACCCCAAGAGTAGGAGGTTCTTCCCTAGGTCACTCGTGGAGGATGTGTGGAACGGTGGTCTCGACTGTACATGTAGCACAGGAGCCTAGAAGTGTATTGCGATATAGCAATGAAGACTGTAGTAGGAAGACTACAGTGGATGAGGGTGCTGTGGTAGGAAGACCACAGTGAAGGTTCCTGTATGTGAAGATACAGGGGAACGAAGAGAATAGACTGGAGATCCTCAGCCTATTCTATGGGCCTTTTATACTACTTTAGGAAGTAGGGCGTGAGAATACCGAATATGTATCCGTAGGTATTCTCTAAGTCGTCTCTCTCAATAACGACTACTTTTGTGCTTCTCCGTTGGTCTCCTTCCGGCCAGGAGAGACTAGGAGGTTCATGCCCTGCGTGTGAGTAATTTATAAGGCGGCGTTCCATGCCCGCTAATACAATAGGCCCGTGATACTCGACCAACGATAAGGTGATCCGTTGGGAGTGGATGACCAAGGTTAATATCTGTACCTTGGTGTACGCCTCAACCTGTGAGGCCGCGTGATATTTGTGATGATCGTATCGGAATAGACCGCCGTGTAGGCCCGATAGAACGTGATCATAACAATACCCCCTTTCTACGTCCTATTCGCCTGGTAGGACCACGCCTTGCGTGTCATCGCCGCTCCATATACGATTTGCTTTCTTGATCCAACGATGGTCGCCGGATGTGACTTCCGGGACATGACTTCGTTTTCTGGGAGGAAGACTGACTTACGTCGTTTGATCCTCTAGGAGTTTTCCATCTCCGTTGAGCTGTTTGTTTGTCGAGTCGCGAGGTTATCCAGGCCTCCGCTCTCTAGGATGTTCTTCCTTCACCCGTGGGATTGATTCTGCCGCGGGTAAACCTCATCGCGGTCTTACTTCCAGCCCGCTTCTGGAATAGTATCAAGAAAGGCGTATGAATGCGAGTGGTGTGTGGATGAATAGAAACTCTAGCGTGTGGGTTCCGATTCGTGTCATCAGGTTCTTCTTCTTCCTTCTCTGAGGGCCAAACCTCAGTGTTTCCAGGATAGTCGTCTATCCTCATGATTTTGTTGTTTCCTCAATGGCGACGTACCATGCCTAAGCATGAGTCGAACGGCCAAGCAGTATTGCTCCCATACGGTGAGCTCATCTCCGGTGAGGGCGCCCAATCAAAATCCCAAGCAGTATTGTCCCCATACGGTGGACTCATCTCCGGTGAGGCAGTTTACGACGTCCAGAGTTTGTTTTTCACAAACGTGGGCCTATGGTGGGGAATACCACGTGTAGTGTTGGGTTCGAGGCAAGGATGTGAAGAGAATTAGACTTGAAAGGCGCAGCGAGGAACAAGGAGGAGTCTGACTCCTTTTCCAAGTCTGCCCGTTCGCTTGCACGAATGGACATCAAGACCACAGCTGATATATTTGTCGGGTTGCGAGGTATACCCACGACTGGCAGTTTAAACGTCATGCGGGACGGTCCGTAGTTTATCGTCGTTTCGGACGATCCGTAGTTTAACGTCTTTGCGGACGTCCTTCATCATCAACATGGAATATCTGTGGGAAAAAGATGTTTCTGCACGCCGGAATTTCCATCGGTTGTGTGCATAGGGCCTTAGACCAGACTTTATCCGCTCCAGATTCCACTGAGGCATGATGGACGGTTTATACTATATCAAACCGGATAACTTGTAACGCCTCAAGGTTATGAGACCGCTCAGTTTAACGCCGTGAGGTAGGCGGACCTGCAGTTTAACGCCGTGCATTAGGCGGGCTTGCAGTTTAACGCCGTGCGATAGGCGGGCTATCATCTGACTATGTCCCTCGAGTCACGATAGGCTTTTCCTCCGAGGATGAGGGTAGTTTAATGTCGTTTCGGACATTATCAGCGTCGTTCTCGTCAAGGACGACGTTGATGATGATCCCTGTGCTAAAAGGGACGAATAGTTTAACGTCATCTCGGACGGTTGGTGACCACGGTCTTGGTCAACAACCACAACTCCTATTCGGTAAGGAGCACGTAGTTTAATGTCATTGCGGACCGATTGACACCATGGCGGTCAATCCACAACTCCTGTACGGTAAGGAGCAAATAGTTTTGTGTCATTGCGGACGATTCAGCACCAGAGTGATGAATCACAACTCCCATGCGATCGGGAGCAAGTAGTTTAACGTCATTGCGGACGCATTGGTGTCCAGGGGATTGGACGTCAATGACAACCCCTAGGTTTAGGGGCACTAGTTTAACGTCGTTTCGGACGCGCGGTATCTTGTCAAGATTGCCACGCACGATCCCTATGCTTGAAGGGACAGTAGTTTTACATCGTTTCGGATGCCCATAGTTTACCGTCGTTGCGGACGTCGATGCCATTGGCCTCGAACAATCCCTATGTGGAAAGGGACAATAGTTTAGCGTCATCGCGGACGTTGTTTTGCCACAAATATTGTGGAAAAACAATGCTTAGTTTAACGTCATCCCGGACGCTTCGTAGTTTATCGTCGTTGCGGACGACGTACAGTTTAACGTCTTGAGGGACGATCCTAGTTTTACGTCGTTGCGGACGATTCGCGGAATAGACTTTGGATGAGTGGCCCGCTCTTGTCGTTCCTCCGCTATGTGGACCAGATGAGAGTCGCGTGACCTAGTCCCTTCCTACTAGATCTTCGACTCGAGGCACGTGTCCTAGTTGCCTCCTGACTAGGTCTTGGAGCGGAATTTCTTGTACTTCGACTCCAGGACTAGACTGAGCGCTCCATGAAGAGATGCTTGCTCTTCCATGTCCCCAGACCCCTCGCTTGGATTTGAACCAAGACGACCCGATATTCTTTTACCGAAAAGCGAGTGAATA